TTTGTCTTTCCATCCTCTAGCAATCACCGCATGGGCTGCTCTTATTGTTACCTTAAACAACTCCTGGCAATTGCTTATTCTACTCGGATGATCCAACACTCCCCATAGTAGCAAATCATTATTAATTTGAATTTTCATCTGAAATATCTCCTGATTTTTTCCTTGTATCATCATATCTATCTTGCTTTCTCTCTCTCAAAAGGAGGCCCAAAACCTCTAACAATAAAAGCAACACGGGATATAATTTGAAGCTCAAAAACACACACATTCAAATTAAACATTCACACTATTAAAAAGTAAACAGTGAAAGCCAATTAGAAGCCTGTTCTGAGCCATTTCAAGAAAGGTAAGCAGTCCCTTGTTGGCAATTAAAGCCGCAATCCAGGTGTTGCTGAGGCACCTGCGAGACACTCTCAGTTGGGCCAATACGTTGGAGGGCAATAAGCAGGACTCAGAGCTGGCCGTTCTCCCAGGAGACTGAAGAGCCCTCCCCAAAACTAGGAGGCAAAGTGGGCCCCGCAATCTGCAGTTATTCTGAGGAGAAAGCCATGGTACTTGTGGATGTGATCAATAAACTCTCTGGTTAATTGGGGGACCATCTACCTGGTGGCACATGGTATACAATGTCCTGCTGGCACTACCCAGACGACATTCGCGGCTCACGTGGCAGGTGATCCTCAATGAAACCCCTGCAAATGGGCCCTGAGGGCCGAAGAGGGGCCTGTAGTGGATGCAGTGAACTTGATGTCTTCCCTCCTACCCCTTGAGCCATAGCAGAAGCATCATCTTTAGCACTGGAGGTCCTTCCATCTCCTCTAGACCCCTTCTCTCGTGTACTGCTGCTAGGCTGAGTGCCTTCCACCCTGTGCTTCTGCATCCCTATCTCCATTTTTGTGGTCTTGGTGTAGGAGTTTGCTTTGTTTGTTTCCTTTGCATTTGTTCTGCCTGATGTTTCACACCTTTGTGGTATAGGTTTTGTAAGAATGCAATATGTCAAGGAACTTTGTGGCCGAATGTGTTCTCCATGCCTTCAGGTTCCTCGCTTTAGAAACGTGGGGCAGGGATCGCACTGCAGGGAAAGAGAGGGTCAGTATTTTTCTCCCAAGACTGACCACTTGGGATGGTCTGCGCGTACAGGTGGTCACTCAAGTTCTGAGTTGGGATGTGAGGAAGCGGGATCCAGGCAGGAAACGCTTTGCAATCTGAGTCCTTTCTGCGCTGACCATATTGTTAGAAGTCTTCCTTTGCAAAGGTTGGGTGACACCCTGAACACACTGCAGTGCAAACAATCTCATACAAACAATCGTGGGCCACTTTCCTCTCTTTTCAGGGCTTGTTCTTTGTTGAGCAAGTGTGAAAGTACTTCTCAGCAGGCCAAGGCTCTTCTCAATAGGACCGCTCTTTCTCCCTTCTTCTCCAGCATTGGCTACAGCACTAAGCTATTGTTCTTATTGTTCAATGAGGTATTTCTGTGCTCTGCTCCTGATAAGATTTTCCTCTCGTTTCTCTGGCAGGTAACCTCTGAAGGAACCTTGAGAAGAACACTTCCCTTTGGCTTAAGTCAGGAATGAAATTGCACAGCACTCACAAGAAATAAGTTGGAGAAATTATATTTCAAGCTCCATAGCTGTGTATTCAAGGAGGAAAGGGAGGATTGTGTTGTAAACAGTGGGGCTTGGTAATTTATTTATTCAAATGGACTAGAGCAATACAAAGACTGAGAAGAGGAAATCAGGAGAACATATCTGTGACCTTCTGGCATAATAATAGAATCATAAATGTAAAAGAATGGAAAATAGAATGGAGAAGCGACATAGCTGTATGGACTGTGGGAAATGTTTCACTGCGAGAAGTTCTCTTACTACACATCAACGAACTCACTCAGGAGAGAAGCCATATAAATGCGTAGAATGTGGAAAGAGCTTCAGTCAGAGTGGAGATCTGCGTATCCATCAAAGGACCCACACAAGGGAGAAGCCACATAAATGCATTGAATGTGGAAAGAGCTTCAGTCAGAGTGGAGATCTGCGTATCCATCAAAGGACCCACACAAGGGAGAAGCCACATAAATGCATTGAATGTGGAAAGAGCTTCAGTCAGAGTGGAGCTCTGCGTACCCATCAAAGGAACCACACAGGGGAGAAGCCAGATAAATGCGTGGAATGTGGAAAGACCTTCAGTCAGAGTGGACATCTGAGTATCCATCAAAGGATCCACACAGGGGAGAAGCCACATAAATGCATGGAATGTGGAAAGAGCTTCAGTGAAAGTGAGACTCTGCGTAAGCATCAAAGGATCCACACAGGAGAGAAGCCACATAAATGCATGGAATGTGGAAAGAGCTTCAGTCAGAGTGGACATCTGCGTATCCATCAAAGGACCCACACAGGGGAGAAACCACATAAATGCATGGAATGTGGAAAGAGCTTCAGTGAAAGTGGGACTCTGCGTAAGCATCAAAGGATCCACACGGGAGAGAAGCCACATCAATGCATGGAATGTGGAAAGAGCTTCAGTCGCAGTTGGAGTCTGTGTTCCCATCAAAGGACCCACACAGGGGAGAAACCACATCAATGCATGGAATGTGGAAAGAGCTTCAGTGGAAGCAGGACTCTTCGTAACCATCAAAGAACCCACACAGGGGAGAAGCCACATAAATGCATGGAATGTGGGAAGAGCTTCAGTCACAGTGCGAGTCTGTGTATCCATCAAAGAACCCACACAGGGAAGAAGCCACATAAATGCATGGAATGTGGAAAAAGCTTCAGTCAGAGTGGAGATCTGCGTACCCATCAAAGGATCCACACAGGGGAGAAGCCACATAAATGCATGGAATGTGGAAAGAGCTTCAGTCGGAGTGGACATCTGCATACCCATCAAAGAACCCACACAGGGAAGAAGCCACATAAATGCATGGAATGTGGAAAGAGCTTCAGTCGGAGTGGACATCTGCATATCCATCAAAGAACCCACACAGGGGAGAAGCCACATCAATGCATGGAATGTGGAAAGAGCTTCAGTCATAGTGGGACTCTGCGTATCCATCAAAGAACCCACACAGGGGAGAAGCCACATAAATGCATGGAATGTGGAAAGAGCTTCAGTCAGAGTGGACATCTGCGTATCCATCAAAGAACCCACACAGAGGAGAAGCCACATATCGTATATACTTGAGTATCAGCCGACCAAATATAAGGGGAGGCACCTAATTTTACCTCAGTAATTGGGAAAACTTATTGACTTGAGTATAGTCCGAGGGTGGGGAATGCAGCAGCTATTGGTAAATTTCAAGAATAAAAATAAAAATAGATATCAATAAAATTACATTAATTGAGGCATCTATAGGTTAAATGTTTCTGAATAATTGCATAAAACTGTAATTTAAGATAAGTCTGTCCCACTCTGATTAAATCATTATTCTAACCTTCTTCAGTGTAAATGTGCTTACGTATCCTTCCAATGATAATAAATAGGGTAAAAAAGTAAATGTAATGATAGCTTGAAATAATAAGTGTAATAATAACAATGATAGCATAAAATAATGTAATAATAATAAATAAATAGAGAGAAACAATAATATTAACAGAATAAAATAATAAATGATGTAGTAGTGATAGAGTAAAATAATAAATGTAATAATAATAATAGAATAAAATTATAAACAACAACAAATACAACAATGATAATCAAATTATTGCCATAGTTTATTTTAACTACAGTATACATTTCGGGGGAAATGCTATGTGTATATGAATAATAAAAAGTGGGAAAGACTGACTTGGGAAGGGGGTGAGAAAGAAAGACTGGAATCGGGGAATAGTTGGAATGGGAAGGAGTGTTTGGAAAAAGAGGGAAAGTGAGGTGGAAAGAGGGTATCTGGGGAAAAAGTAAGACAGAATGGGATAGGAAGGGGGCAACTAGAAAAGGGGAAGACTGGGGTAAGAAAAATGTGTAGGAAAAGTGGGGAGAAGATTGAGGTAGGAAGGGAGGAAGGCATTGTCTGTCTCATCCAAAGAGGGACCAAGAACTAAAAAAAACTAACATTCGGAAAGCATGAAAAAAAAAAAAAAAAAACAAAAAATGCAAAAATGAAAACAAAAAAATAGAAAAAAAAGAGAGAGAGAGAGACTAGAAAAAGTAAAATAAAAAAGTTAAAAATAAAAGAAATAAAAATAAAAAGAACAAAAAAAAAAAAAAAAAAAAAAAACCAAAACAAAACAAAACAAGAAAAAAGATGGTGAGATGCATAGGAAAATATGTAGGAGTTTCCAGACTTAAAAGATCAGTATAGGTTGCACGAAGAGGCTTCAAAACTTAGTTGAAACATCTAGAGCTTACACACACAGCCTTTATTGGCATATAACAACAAAATTGGCATAATAAAAAGTGGGAAAGACTGACTTGGGAAGGGGGTGAGAAAGAAAGACTGGAATCGGGGAATAGTTGGAATGGGAAGGAGTGTTTGGAAAAAGAGGGAAAGTGAGGTGGAAAGAGGGTATCTGGGGAAAAAGTAAGACAGAATGGGATAGGAAGGGGGCAACTAGAAAAGGGGAAGACTGGGGTAGGAAAAGTGTGCGGGGAAAGTGGGGGGAAGACTGAGGTAGGAAGGGAGGAAGGCGTTGTCTGTCTCATCCAAGGAGGGACCAAGCCCTGGGTCGCCTCCTCCTCCTCCCCGTCCTCCTTTTCCCTTGAGTCCTGGCCATGGATATACAAATAAGACATCCCCTGAAAATAAGCCATAGCGTGTCTTCTTGAAAAAGAAATAGTGTCTTATTTTCAGGGAAACACGGAGGGAGCAACTTTGTTTACTAGGACGCAGTGGAGCCATGGCTTCAAACCACAAGGCAGGAGATTCCACCTGAACATGAGGAAGAACTTCCTGACAGTGAGATCCGTTCAGCAGTGGAACTCTCTGCCCCAGGGGAGTGTGGTGGAGGCTCCTTCTTTGGAAGCTTTTAAACAGAGGCTGGATGGCCATCTGCTTTGAATGCAATTTTCCTGCTTCTTGGCAGAATGGGTTTGGACTGGATGATGGCCCAGGAGGTCTCTTCCAACTCTAGGATTCCATGAAACGAGATTGGGACCTACTAATAATTCACGAGTTATAACAATGAGGGGACATTTTTTATTGTGAGTTTTAGGAATGAGTTTACTATATTTAGAAACGGAAGAGTAAATATAGAGCAGCATTTAAAGTGAGTGAATACAGATGAAAATCTGCATGCGACAAGTTGTGTTGATCTGTTGTTCTCTTAGTTTTGTTCTTATTGTGTAGGTGTGTGTTGTTCAGTCTTTTTAAAATCCCAAAATTGTAATTTGTATAAACATGCTTTTCTTTCTTGCCTTTGAATAAAAATTATTTTGAAAAAAAAACCAGAGTGTGATGTGGCAGCCACAAATGCAAATGTGATCCCAGGCTGTGCCAAGAGGAGACGTGGTGTCTACGTCCAAGGAAGTCTCAGCCTTCTTTCTCCTGCTTTGCTCAGAACTCACCTGGAATCACTGTCTCCTGTTCCCGGCAGCACAACTCAAGYCGGATATTGAAACACTTGAATATCTCCAGAGACGGGCTGTAGGGAATGGCCGAGAGAGCGGAGTCTGCTTAACTTAGAGCAGTGTGTCTCATCCTGTGGGTCTCTCCCCAGGTGTGTTGTGGCCTACAACTCCCAGAACTCCCAGCCAGTTGACCAGTTGTGAGGATTTCTGGGAGGTGAAGGCCAAAACGCATCTGGGGAGAGACCCACAGGMTGAGYAYAGAAGGAAYGGCTTCTTRCTRYGCWGGYYMMGYGYYYGGGAGGGGMCYGCCACYGAATGMTTTTTMGGGTTCADGMGACCRCTKVGACTMTVYTGTAGAAAKAGATMGATAGGYATGCATBYCKCTRKCCTCCAYTGTGTAKTGAGACAGRRCTTAATAGACARYTGTTCKCAGCACAKRYKTCTKAAGSGTTAAGAKAACYGAGYAGATGGCGTGACAGGGACGGAATCTGGAGAGAAGGATGGGAGCGGCTTGTATGTGCCCGTCCTTCTCTGCCCTGCGGCTTGCTATCTGCCATTGGTTAGAGGCTGTAGCGAAATATCTAATATCTAATTATAATGTTCTGCTGGACCTCTCAGCTGCCTTCGATACTGTTGACTACGGTATCCTTCTGGGATGCCTCTCAGGAATGGGCCTTGGAGGTACTGTTCTGCAGTGGCTCCGGGCCTTCCTAGATGGTGTTATTGGGAGACACCTGTTCAACCCCACATTTATTTATTTATTTCGCATATTTCTACCCTMCCCTTCTCAACCCCCGAGGGGGGACTCAYGGTGGCTTACAAAAGGCACAATTCGATGCCTACACAATAATACAGATAAACATATATAAACAGCAATTAAAACAATTATTACAGTTAAAAACAATCAATTATAACTCCCAATCAATATAAAATCAATCTCATGCTCAACGTTCACCGACTCAGAGTCCATATATTCATTCCATGGTATACAAATACAGTAAGTAAATAAATAAACAAACAAATAAAATGGGCTGAATTGAGCAG